CCAACCTCTTAAACTTAAACGACTTCCTTCCTTCCTGCGGCACTGTGGCAGACTTTCTTTTTCGGCTTTCGACTAATCGTACTTTCGCTCAAAGAAGGCGGTAATTGGAGCCACTGCAGAAGCATGGAACTACTGAAACATCAAGCAAGCTTCACCTTAGATTGAAGAGAATGTCGTCGATCTCCGCGTAAGATTCCTTGGGGCGATTCCCGTGTCCACCAACGATGTTTTTTCCAATGGAATTTCCATGAAAAGTCGTGCTGCGAAAGAAGTCCGACGAGTCGGTTGCCATTTTCGTTCCGGAGCCCATATCCAAACTTTTCGATCTTATATTCCTCTTCTAGTGGCATCCCAATCTTCGCGTTGAAGTCGCCTACAACAAACTTGTAAAAGGACTTCTCGTTGCGGACGACCTCCTCCACATCTTCGTAGAAAGCATCTAGTTCTGATTTGTCAGCTGCTGATGTTGGAAAGTAGCAGTTGATGATGCTGATGGTCTTCTGACGTGGAGGTCGTAGTCGTGAAATGGAGTCGAAGTGATAGGATCTCATGCGAATTGACAAGATGGGCGATAGATGGGTGGACGATAAAACCAATGCCTCCAACGTTTCGTAATGAAACCTTTTCACCACAAATGATGAGGGTCCCATGTCCATCTGTGGCACATCCTTTTCCTTGGACTTGGTTTTCTGCAGAGCGATGACTTGGTATTTGATGTGCGCAGCGTCGAGAAAAGCGTGGAGGTCGGCGTTTGTGGAGACTGCTGGCGTTGTAGGTGCAGAGCATGAGGCAGTCTCCATGGCAGTCGTCCGGGCAGACGTGTCGTTTTTGTCCGATCCGAAAGGAGCCCAGAGTACGCTGACATCGTTCTTGCTACCACCCGGCGGCGACCAGGCAAGGTCCGATGTGCAGGGTTTTATTTCTCTTCTTTTTGCTGATCGAGTAAGAAAAGTTTTTCCCTACAAGAGCAAACTTGCTAGGCCTACTCTTTATTTCCACGAAACAATCGCTGATTGCTGTAGAGTGGGGGGGGGGAACCTCCTAACGACCGGAAAAGCAGACAGCGGTAGATCTGGCTTGCCCGGCTCTTAGTTAAGCATCTAACCGAAACCGGAAATGTCGAACTCCTTCACAGGTTGGGAGACCCTGCCATATGCACTTGGCTGTGCATCGCAGTTCGACACCCAGTGTCACTCCCACGCCACATTAAAGGCAGCGTCCGGGCAAAATTTCGCCTCACATGTTTCTGCCATTCCTTTCCGTGGCCCTGATTACAGTTGTAAAGTTCAAATCGTTCAAAAGTCCCAAAAAACCCGGTTCTTCCAGCCTCTCTCTTCAAGGAACGAACGAAATTCGAATTGCTCGTGCCCATCGTCATGCCAGCGGGAGGAGCTGCAACTGCGCGGATGCAGTTGCATTGCACCTGCGTGAACACTCGTCCTCAAGGGAGGTTTGTGATATGAAGGGGTGGCTCGTGATACGTATCACAGACCCGTATCTCCTCTATCTCCTTTTAGAGGGCACGTCAAAGGATTGGACCAACGCAGATCGGATACTCATGGGCTCCTCTTTACAACTATGAGCTAATCTGGGTAGATGGATCTTGCCTGGACGCTGCCCTTAAGGCGTCCGACCATTGTAAAGGAATTTATGTATATTCGTAACTTATTCATTTACTTCTTATGTTTTGTAGTTATGTTTTGCTATTTTTCATGTTACTTCTTCATCATACAGTGACCGCCAAAAAGTTGCAGACAAGCCTCCCTTCCTTTTTCATCGCTCTTTTTCAAAAAGAAAACAAGGATGAAAAAATGTAATAATTGCATGAGGTGATAGAGCTCTTCGAGATATACAATCTACACTTTGAGTTTTTTGAGAAACATTGTTCTAAAAATTTTAAGAATCTTTTTCTAAAAAAAGTCCGAAAATGGCCGCGTCACAATGTCGCGGACAATAATTTTTCAAACGCAAAAATTTTCTTTTGAGTCCTATTTTAAAGCGGAAACACAAGTTATCCGGACGGGTAAGCATACTACTATACAGAGCTCGTCAAGTGGTACACACTGGTTATGGTTGCTTCCCCAAAAAACGCAAGCTTGAGTTTTATTTTACTTTTTTCAAAAAACAACTTCTAACTTCCTTTATCAAGCCAAATTTCTTCACACGGAAACCTGTTCAAGACATTCCAACAAAGCCGTCTAGATAAAACAGATGCTCTTTGCCATCCTCTATGCATGGGACGTGTGCTGATGAGTTTCTTTGCTGAAAATGGCCCTTGGCAGTGCTTGCACATGACCCCACCTGCACCTAACCACTGACTTGTACCGGTTTGCAGGCTTGTAACTCGGCCTGCAGTCAATATTTGAGCTTCCAATTAGGCTCGTTCGAAAGAACGAGACTTCCTCTACACGATAGTATGCAAATAAGTTCAGTTTGAGCAATCCCAGAGATTTGGCGGATGGGGTGGTAGAGGGCAGCTTCATTTGTAGTCTAAGCACTTTTCAGTTAAAGATGAAGAGAGCTCCCTTCGCTACCAATTTCATCCTGGAAGTTCAAATCTGTCAATTTTCTTGTAATAGATCCATTTCGAAGCTCTAAGACTGTTCTGGTGTTCATAAGAGCTTTCACTCCAATCACCTCTAAGGCTGCACTTTTTCACCCCATCCGTCAAATCTCTGAAATTTCTCATACTCACCTCATTTGCATACCATCCTGTCCGGGATCTCACGCTCTTTCGAACGAGCCTAATTGGAAGCTCAAATACTGACTGCAGGCCGAGTTACAAGCCTGCAAAGCGGTACAAGTCAGTGGTGAGGTGCAGGTGGGGTCATGTGCAAGCACTGCCAAGGGCCATTTTCAGCAAAGAAACTCATCAGCACACGTCCGATGCATAGAGGATGGCAAAGAGCATCTGTTTCATCCAGACGGCTTTGTTGGGATGTCTTGGTTTCCGTGTGAAGAAATTTGGCTTGATAAAGGAAGCTAGAAGTTGTTTTTTGAAAAAAAGTAAAATGAAACTCAAGCTTGCGTTTTTTGGGGAAGCAACCACAACCAGTGTGTACCCCTTGACGAGCTATATAGTAGTATGCTTACCCGTCCGGATAACTTGTGTTTCCGCTTCAAAAATAGGACTCAAAAGGAAATTTTTGCGTTCGAAGGATTATTGTCCGCGACATTGTGACGCGGACATTTTCGGACTTTTTTTTAGAAAAAGATTCTTAAAATTTTTAGAACACATGTTTCTCAAAAAACTCAAAGTATAGATTGTATATCTTGAAGAACTCTATCACCTCATGCAATTATTACATTTTTCATTCTTGTTTTCCCTCTGAAAAAGAGCGATGAAAAAGGGAGAGGGGTTTGTCCGCAACTTTTTTGGCGGTCACTGTACATTACGTGCATTAGTTCCGTCTCATTTGCGGTAAGCCCAATTCGAATGGGCTTTGCGCGTCGTCTGTCTCGTTTGAGCTTGCCCGGCGTTCAGTGATCACCAACGTCTACTCAAAAACCTCGTCCGCGTGAAACACGAGCAGCTCTAGTCAAGCTCACTTTGAATGACACAGAAAGGTTGCCTGCGCTCCATGTGGCTGCTGTCAGTATTGGCATCGGACACTGCTGTGGCCATTGTAACTCGTGGTTCAACATTCATTTGTGTAACGCGAAATGTTGTCTCCATAAGATTAATCTCGAATTTCTGTCAGGCTTGATTTAGCTTTCTTACTATGAAAGAGCCCACATCTCTCTTGAACTTGCCATCCACAATAGTGTTTAGAGAGCAACCTACATTCATGGATTCTTCTCAAAACGATAACATAAATGTTTGATGCACTAACGACTATCCGTTGCTTTTTTTAAGACTGCAAAATGTATTCCAGCGAACACGTTGAGTCGTTGTAAGTTTACTGGTAGGGAGGCTAACAAGTTGCAGTGGCAAATGAAAAGAGATGTATATTACCAAACATCTTGAAACCTGATTCCTAGTTTATTTGATGATTTGCGAAACATTTTGTGGAAGGGATTATGGCGTTGAGTATCACCTGACAAATTTGGATTTTCAAGAGTCCCATACTTTCTGAAAGTTGCCCCGCAGAAAAAGAAGACGGATGAGACCACGTTTGGAGGCATTATTGGTTATAAATTCATTTCTAATTTAGGTGCGACCTAATATTCTCCCTTCTTGAGCTTATTCACCAAAGTTCAAACTCGTTTCATTCAACGTCGAAGGAGCGATTAGTTTCTGAAAAACGCCAGTTTTGCAAAAGCCACATCTAACGAATGAGAGAGCATTGAATTACGTTGATGTGCACGATCTTTCTCAATTCTGTTTTGCAATCATGAAATGACTGAACCGAGAGAGCATAAGCTATAAGCAAGCCGTGGTTAGCTCTCTTTTTTTGTGATTGACATGCGAGTTTTGAAAGAGGAAGAGAACTAATCAACGGGGGTTATTTATCATTACAAAGAGAATTTTAAAAAAGGAAGAATGAATCTTACTTCAGAACCTTATTATGAGGAAGGAGAATGCGCTTAGGGAGCTTACAAAGAATCAGAAAAAGGAAAAGGAGAGACATAAATCTGGTGTCAGCATCGTTCGGCCCGTGTTTACAACACGGTCAGCTTCTCAGACAGTCGAAGGGATACCTCCGGCGGGCAAATGGCGCGAGTCTGCCACTTCGCGCTCTGGAGCGCTCCGGAGGCCCTGCCATTTCACACCTTTTGCTGCTCCGGGGCTCTCCCAAAACTGGCGCAACTCAGGAGCAGAGATTTGCGGGTCCCGGAGAGGGATTTCATTCGTTCACGGTTATGTCACGGTGACGTCACAAGCAGGCGAATGGGATCCCTCTCCGCGACGCGCAAATCTCTGCTCCGAAGGTGCGCCAGCTTTGGGAGAGCCCCGGAGCAGCAAAATGCGTGAAATGGCAGGGCTCCGGAGCGCTCCAGAGCACGAGGTGGCAGACTCGCACCATTTGCCCGCCGGAGGCATCTTTTCGGCTGTCGGAGTTATTACTAGGGAATTTGATCCTCGCTACAACACATAAAACAAATCGAATTGTCTAACATCGGAGGTATCAAAAATAATAGCCGATGAACTTAAGTATATTCACAAGCATTAGACTTCCAGAGAATGGTGCACCATTGGATTTCGGATAACGGCATAAAATCGCTGTACCATCCATAAGATTATAACCTCGCCGCAGCCATTCCTTGTTGCAACCTTTGCTGGACGTTGTCCTTCCATCCATTCTGATGCTGATCTTACAGAACAAGAAAGTGAGATTTCTGACTTCTCGCATTCGTTCTAAAGACCCAGTGTTGCATTGGTATTGTATTTGTGAGATAGGCTATATAAAGTGAAAATAGACTTTATTTGCCATTGTAGTATTCTACCGCAGACATTATGGCTTCCCCTTCTTCTTAGCTGTATTCTTGGCCAGCACTGAAATTAAAATTACAGCAACGAGAACAAGCTTTTATCTAAGAACAGGAAGAAAACGAGCAATGTACGAACTGGAAGCTGGATACTTGCATCCGATTCTTTTAGTTGTGTAGCCCGAAACAACCACGAGTAGAGCCGCAATTACGAATCCTTTCACAAACCACATTTTGGGAATGTTGAAGCTACCGCGCTAAGCTAAGCTTGTTTTATTACCTACAAGAATAAAATAGACTCCCTTGCTTAGCATAGGCGTGCTCAATGTTCACGATAACTCTTGAGAGTGATTAAAAAGCAGTAACATTCCTGAGAGTTGGTGCGACATTTCAATGATGAGCCCAACTTTTTCTTGGTTGGAGCCAAGAAGAAGTTTACAAAAAATTTTCTGTAAGCAAAATATTATAATAGATAAAGTTCTGTACTCTACATATTAATCAGACCGAGTCAATATTGGATACTACCGAAAAGCTCTTCTAGAAAATATTTGTCATGTTGAGCCCAACTGTGTACAAATTGCTGTAAGAACTACGACAATAAAGAGAGCTTATAACCCTTGCCTGCTGGTTTCATTATTTTTGGAGCAAAAGATAGGGGCACAATTGTAACATCCGCTTAATCTGCTTACAAATGCCGAGTTTCAATTTGTCTCGTGATTTTTTTTCCAATTCTGATCTCTTACCGTAATAAACTCCCTTTTTTGATCTCTAAAAGGATCCCGAAAAACCGTTCGATAGAGCAAAATAAGCTACAAGATGTCGCTCACACATTGCAACATCAATTCACGCGAAGTTTTAAGTCAATATCAAAAGTGTTTTCGATGTTCATGATTCCAAAGAATCACGCATTTTATCAAAAACCCATAGATCCCATGCCCGCTCAAGCGTATGCAGCCCGCATTAATCATACCTACAATTGCCGTACGTATTTTTTCTCTAGGCTGAAACCAAGAAAAAAAACAAAAAACAAGATTTTTAGCTTTGCTAAGCTGAGGTGTTCCTGCTTGTATGACCGTAATGGAAACCTTTTTTGAGCATAATCTTAGATTTTTAGTTCTCTCCAAAAGCTACTGTACAAAAATACCTGAATTTACCAAAATGAACTTGGTGATAGGTTTGTACTGGTAAAAAATCATGCACATCTCCCAACTACCGCAGTGGTGTGAGCAAAAGAGCCAAAAATAATTACCGTAAAGAATGAAAAAATATGAGTCAACCAATACTAGCTTCTAACTGAATCAAAGCATTCCTTCCATCCAACTAAAATGATAATTTCAGTGCGATAAAAGCTGTTGCTTTCAGTAACAGCTTTCATTCAGTTTAATTGTACCACAGCTGCTTACCGTGCAAGAGTCTCACTACTCCAATAAATTCCTTCGATCTGCGTTCAATATTCGTACAAAAGACCAAATATTCGTACAAAAGACCAAGTGACTCAAATTATCATCAAGATCGTTCAGCTTGAAAACTCTTGACAGTTTTGTTTCAACATGCAGTTAGTAGCATAGTCATCTCTCATAGATGCAAGTATTGAGAAAAATTCTAGTTTTCCGATGGACAAGAAGAGAACAAAAAGAAAGCATGGTCCCTCGTATTTGAGGGCTTCAATTTTCCGTATGAATTTGCGTCTGTAACGAAATCATAAATGATAGACTGAGAAGAAATCTTAAGAATAGTACTTTCATGGAAAAATCTATTTTTGAGGTCTTAAAAGTCCCAGATTTTGCTTATTATGCCTTCTAGAAAGAAAGAGTTTTTGCAGACATGAGAACTTGCATTGATTCCGTTTTAACTTGATATATTATAGAGTCAAATTGACAAAAAATTTTCCTTGTTACTTACTTCGATATCCTTGTAAGGCACTTCGACAATTTTCCATTCCAACCTTTCTTGAAATTCTAGGTCTTTCGTTATGCAGAATACAAATTCGAGCTTTAAGACCGGTGAAATGACCGTTATCAAGGCGTTTACCTACTGAAGAGCTTTGAAGGCTAATTCAAATCTGCTTTCGTCTGACTAACGCCTCCGTGCGCCGAGTTATTAGTTTTTTGGAGCAAAAAATGCATGCAGAATTTGAATAAAATCAATGTTATGGTCGCTTCAGCGCTCAAAGAGTTAATTTCAAATATACTATACAAAGGATTTTATTGCTCAAAGTATAAAAATTAAAAAAAATTAAAAAATTAAATTTGACTATACTTTGAGCAATAGAATCCTTTGTATAGTATATTTGAAATTAACTCTTTGAGCGCTGGAGCGACCATAACATTGATTTTATTCAAATTCTGCATGCATTTTTTGCTCCAAAAAACTAATAACTCGGCGCACGGAGGCGTTAGTTAGACGAAAGCAGATTTTAAATAGCCTTCAAAGCTCTTCGTGTTGGTGTAAATTCTAATAAATCCACTCAAATCAAAAAACACTTTTCTCGCCAGTTGAAGGCCCTGCTACCATGAAACATTAAAATCTCACCGTCATTGGGTGAATCATGCCTTAGTTATGCTTTTTCTTCAAATGTACCTTGAAGAAGATGTCTTATGAAAGGAGATTTCCTTTTCCGGAAATTCTTTAATGACATCTCGTTCCGAGCATAGTGCAAATATGTATTAGGTTGATGCATAATCCCTGCACCAAAATAGGTACAGACCACAATAATCCGGAATAATCCAATATCCCAAATAGGGTTCGATATATCATTAGATAGAGCAAACCTAGCTCTACAAGGTGGTGCTCAAAGGCAGTGTCTCACCGCACTTGAGGTCGCGCGGATCTTCACATATTCTATTATAGGAACCTCTAAATAGGCCATTGCAACAAGTCGCACTCAATTTGACCCCCTCCACGCTGAGAAAAATTCGCTCAAAGTGGTACGCGGACAGCGGGTTGGTACGCGCGAACGACTCCTTCGGCCTCCCCCCTTACGCGTTTGAACATGTCCCTCCACTTGGCATCCACCTCCCCTCTGCTGCTGCCACTGTGGCTGAAGCTGAAGTTGGAAGGCACAACTCGTCCATGTTGCTTCGGCGGGGCCTCCAGAAAACGGGGTTTTTGGGAACTTCTTGCGATTTTAAGCCCATACAGTGCTGAACAGGGTCCGACAGGCTTGCAAAATGCGAAAATCTCGGCAACTAAATTTTGGTGAGACACTGCCTTTAAAGTTTTGCAGCAGCTTTGATCCACGCGAAGATTGAAGCTAAAAACCGAAAAGATCCAAGTGCCTCAAAAACCCAAGAAAAAAATTGAAAGTCCATTCAGAAAAATCCTTGAAAATTTCTAACTTGCTCATGCATTGTCATTTCGTCTAAGACATATTTCTATGCAGTTGCTGTATTTTTCTCTCAACTAGAATTGAGAAACCGTAGTTTTCATGTTTTTTTCAAAACAATGCTGGGATGTTCTAGCACCTACAGTTGTATACTATAGGACCATAGAAGCGTGAATGTGAATTTTCAGCTTTTTACAGCAACTGGTTTACGAGAAATATCGAATTTTTGGCAATTAGGCAAGAAAAATTCGGATGAACAGAGCTAGATTCGTCATTACTCGTGAACTAGCAGTTCCAGAAGGCTGAAAATGTAAAATCTTACTGCTAATGGTATGTACTATACAACTGTCAATGTTAGAACATATCAGCACTAATTTGGCAAATACATGAAAAACTTCGTTTTCTCATCGCCTAGCTGAGAAAAAATGACAGCAACTGCATAGATAGATGTCTTACATGGAACGTCTACGCGTGAGCAAGAAAGAGTTTTTGCAGGGGTTTTTTTAACGGAGTTACAATTTTGTTTAGATCTGTCTTAAGGTTTTCAAACGCAAGGTTTATTTTAGTTTTTGGCTCAATTCTTCTGTGGATCAAAGCTGGTGTAGATTTTTGAGCACTTTCTTGTAGAGCTAGGTGTGCTCTATCTAATGATATATAAAATCCTATATAGAGTATAGGAGAATTTCGGATTATTGCGCTCTGTACCTATTTTGGTGCAGGAATTATGCATCAACGTAATATTAGGTCATTCCGAAAGTAATTTCGCTTTTTTCATACGGGTACCACATTTGATGGAACAAAGGTTTTTAAGAAATCTTAGATGCATTCGATGCAACATTTTATTCTCTTTCTAACGGTTATGAAACTGTTGCAAAACAATCAATGAGCTTCAGAAAATGACCAAAATCTGCGATCCATGTTTTTTGAGATGGTCAAGTTTCACGATTTTTTAAAACTTTCATATCAACCCTCAAAAGGAGTTCAAGTAAGAATTCGATAGAGTAAACCCTATAGGATATAGTACTACTTTTTTCTCCTTTTCATAGCTTGCCATACATTTTTAACAGAATTTTAACTGATGCTACTGATTTCCATACTTGAGCAGCTAAATCCTCGTAGAACATCAAAAGAAAGGCAGCTCGCGCACTATCGATGCAGCATTTTCTCCTCTTCCTAATAGGTGTTTTCTGTTTCCGATTCGTTTAGTTTCTGTGGAGAAATCATCATAACTCAATTTTCTAGCGAGCCCCAGGCTGTACCCGAAAAACGCAAAATTTGATATTTCGAACCCATAAACCCTCAATTGCTTTGTAAAATTAATGCTAACTCATAGTACCATCTGGATAGTCTCAAATTCCGAAAAATTATGATGTTTGATGCAAATGTGGCTGAGGTGGGCCTGCCAAAATCCGATAGTTTTGTTAGAAAATTTAAAAAAATATTACGGCGAGATGCAAGGAAGAGAAAAAAGTAGTACCGTATTCTATAAGGTTTAATCTATCGAACCATTACTTGAACTCCTTCTGAGGATTGATATGAAAGTTTTAAAAAATCGTAAACTTGACCATCTCAAAAAGCATGGGTCGCAGATTTTGGTCATTTTCTGAAAGGTCGTTGAATATGCTGCAATAATTTTATAATCTTTAGAAAGAAGATAAAATTCTGCATCGAATGCCTCCAAGATCTTTTAGGAACCTTTGTTCCATCACATGTGGCGTCCGTTTTAAAAAAGCGAAATTATTTTCGGAATGACCTAATATTTTAGGCTGCTTCAATGATAATTACAAAAATAGATGTAAATGACTAGCCATGATTTTACAGTAGGAAACGTCCTTGTAGGTTGCTACGGCAAGGGTATGCAATTAAGATTGGTTGATAAATGCAAGTGAGAAAGAACCAAAAAGATCATGCTTTTAATCAGAATGCTAAGCTCAAGAATGCCAATGCTTTCGAAAAA